CGGAGCCGATACTGGCTGCGGGTTGATCGAGCCAAGTGGTTGACGCATCTCGGTGATCGGTGGGACCGGTGCCGTGGTAGCTCGACGGAGGAAGGGCGAAGGAAGGTCGGGATCCTCCATCGCCCATTTGGCAGGTGTAGCCGCCTCGCGATATACAAAAGTTGGCGCCGGGATCATCGTTGGTGGTATCGCTGCCTTGTAGGTATCTTGGGAGGACTCAGTCGATCCTGCAGACCCGGATGACGATCCTGAGGCGCTAGATGAACCTGATGACGAGGGTTGGGCATTGGAAGCAGGTGCCGCTGGGATGAGGGAGCTCCTTCGAGGTCGAGGGGCCCACGGCGATGCCATCGACATGGGACTAGCGTAGCTCGCCATGCTGATATCTTCGCAGTAGACCGCCTTGGCCAGCTCGCTGGGACTGCCAATACTTGTCCGCTGTTGTCTTGTCGATCCCACAATCTGTTTCGCTGGTGTGGCCTCAGCAGCAGCCCAGGCAGCGTCCCTTTCAGCGTCCGCTCGAGCCGCCGCTGCTAGGTTTCCGAGTGACTTTGTGTTGTTTCGACGAAGCGGTGTGATCGCCCTAGGCTGAATACTCATTCCTGCCATTCGAGAATCCAGCGGCAATGGCGAGGCTACTGATGCTAGGGGTATCTTGGACGGCGTTTCCGCATACGTTGGGTTGGCTGTACGTCCAAAGCGGGACGTTGGTGGTAAGGGCATGGTGCTGTAAGAGGATGATCAGCGAAGCGATGGGATCCGTATTGACATATGCCTACCTGCGCTCTTCCAGTGGCGGGCGGCTTAATGGGGGCATGGAAGACTTGGCAGGCCCTACGACAATGTTAGCGGGTCGGTCTTTTGGGTCAATCGAACTCACTATCGTTCACATCGGAAGCCAGATTTGGTAGCACGTCTCGACTCTTCTCCTTCTCCTCCCTGAACCTCTCCCACTGGTTGCGCAGACTTTCCGCGGCCAAATTGAGTCTCCTCTGAGTCTCCTTCGCCTCCTCATCGTGTTTGTTGCAAATGGCTTCCCGCTCCATTATGCTAGCCTCCTTTGCCGACAGGGCTTTTTCTCGCTCCTCCAATGCTGCAGCCTTGAGTCGGAGTTGTTCTTCATAGCCTTTCAGCTCGTCGCGTTTACACAGGAGTAGCGATGTTCTGCCACTCAATCAGCGCAAGCTCAAACATCATGGTAGACCGGTCTCACTGATTCTGAACTGTAAACAGCTTGCGCTGCAGCTTCATTTCGTCCATATCCAACAGATCCTTGGTAGATGGACGTCGCACGGGCTGCCAGATGCGTCGTTAGGTTTCGATGTGTAGGACCTTGTTGGATCCACTTACGTTGAGATTCAGCATCGCTTTGATCACGTTCTTGAGTGCGGGCGAGTACTGCGTAGGAAGAGGGGGTAATCGGCCCGACTTGACCATTGAGATCAGTTCCGGCTGAGTCTGAGCCGTATGGAAGGGAGAGCTGAAGTAGCGTCAGCTATAGCATATGCCGCAGAAGGGTAAGCGACGTACTGCAGAGCACACATCTCGTATACTAAACAGCCCAAACTCCAGATATCAGATTTTGTGTCGTATCGATTCTCAGCTAGAATCTCGGGAGGCATATACAGGGGAGTCTGAAAAAGTTGTTAGCTGGACCCAGAGTATATCGAGGGACGATGGCTTACGCCAACGTATGTTGAAGTGAAGGATGCTGTTCCCATGTCCTTACTCAGCCCGAAATCACCCAGCTTGACGAAATCATCGGACAAGAAGACTATATTGTGGGGTCAGCTACAGTCAAGTACGCACTAGGTGAACTGACCATTCTCAGGCTTCAGATCCCGGTGTAGAACCTGATACCTGGCTATGCCATTGTCAGGGGCTTGAGGTGGGCCTGCGCTGAGCCTGGCGGTGTTCTGCTTCATGGGTCGGTCCGCTGGCCAGTGGCAGTGATGCAAAGCCAAGGTGATCTGGAGAAAGATGTTCCAGATCTTATCCTCGTGGAACGGCTGGTTCGTCCGCTGAGCTTTGCGGATAAGGCTTCCCAGGTCACCCGAAGTGCAGAACTAGGGATCACGTCAGCCTACGGTCGATGAGTGGTGCTGTCTGCCACGCTGACCTCCATGACAATGTATATCCGCTCATTCTTGGGGTCCTTGATTTTCTGCACCAGCTGGACGATATTCCGATGCTTGAGCGATTCAAGGATAGCACTGCGATTGCCACGGGCGGGGCGAGCGATCAGCTTGACTATATCTGGCAGTGACGCTGGTTTACTCACACCTCGGCTAATATCTGCTTGCGGTCTTTATCGGTCATCTTGGAGTAATCCAGCTGCTTGAGCGCGAATTCCTATGACCCAAAGCAAGTCAGCAATCCCTCTCGCTGAAAGTTGACTCGACCGCTTGACAGGCTTGCAGGTAGACTGGTCCAAGAGAACAGCACAAGAACAGCACCTACCTTTCCATCCGCTACCCGCTGCACCTTGCTGATCACTCCAAAGCTACCTTTGCCAATGTTGGATATCAGTCGGTACTTGTCCATCTCTGAGACATCGAGGTACCCGGAGCCGATGCCAGGCGCCGTGGATCGTCTCGGTGCGGCCATGTCGTTTGCGATCCCAAGCTGGGTGAGGTATAGGAAGGTTTGTTTACCACGAGCCTGAAATGACGGTTGTTTCTGCTACCGCATGTAAGTCGAGGTGTGGGGAGCAGGTCTGTAGTGGAGCTCAATTGTTGTGAATCTAGTAGCAGCCAACGTTATGCCTGAGCTATGTACAGCGAGAAAGCGAGCAAACGGGTGATGTTGTCATGCTCATGTTTGACCAGCCCTCCTTCCGTTCAGCGAAATCAGGCGCGGCGTCCTGCTCAGGGGTTAGAGACCAGAACCGGGTGTTGAAGGGGGGTAAACAACCCGTCATTAGGATCCACCGAGGCGCATTAGGATTCATCAGGGCTAATGAGGTTAGTTCTGGCTCCATCTGATTCCGCTAATGCGCTTTCCGGGCGTCTGCGTCCAGGTGGAGGTTGACGTTCTGCTTGAACTTTTTGGGTTTTGGCCACCGGTCCATGACAGTCGTACAACGCTCGACTTCTGCTTTTGCTCCCTCGTATCTCTCGATAGACCGCCAGCCATGTCGTCTGCCGCTTCGTCAGAAGCCTCATCGTCTCGAGGATCACCCTCGCCTTCGCCGTCTCGGTCGCCTTCCCCAGAGGCTGACAATGCTGGAGTGGAACTGACCGACTCCAACAAGACGTTTGCGGACCTCGGTATCTCGCCCCAGCTATGTGACGCGTGTACCTCTATGGGCTTCAAGAAGCCCACCGATATTCAGGTCGAATCGATACCCCACGCTCTTCAAGGCAAGGACATCATCGGTCTGGCTCAGACTGGTTCGGGAAAGACTGCGGCCTTCAGTCTGCCTATCCTGCAATCACTATGGGAGAACCCTCAACCTTTCTTTGCGCTGGTCCTGGCACCCACTCGGTGAGTGGTTGGGCGCGTCATTCCCGTCACTTGTCGAGACTGACGGGCTGTCGTCAGAGAGCTTGCATATCAGATTTCGCAGCAAGTCACCGCTCTCGGCGCGGGCATTGGAGTGCGAGCAGCAACCATCGTCGGAGGTATGGACATGATGTCCCAGTCAATCGCTCTGTCAAAACGACCTCATGTCATCGTCGCTACCCCTGGTCGTCTGATGGATCACTTGGAGAACACCAAGGGCTTCTCGCTTAAGGCATTGAAGTACCTGGTCAGTAATATGTGCCCCATGTATCGCGTTCATAGCTGACGACCTCCTCTACAGGTCATGGATGAAGCAGATCGATTGCTCGATATGGACTTTGGACCGATCATCGACAAAGTCCTCAAGGTCATTCCGAAAGAGCGTAACACCTACCTCTTCTCTGCGACCATGACCACCAAGGTGGCCAAGCTGCAAAGGGCAAGCTTGAACAAGCCCGTCCGGGTCGAAGTGTCGTCAAAGTGAGTTCATGTTAGGTCTTGACACGGTTTCCCCGTGCTCTTTGCTGATCATAGACCTGCTCAGATACTCGACAGTGTCAACCCTGCTGCAGCACTACCTCCTCTGCCCGCTCAAAGCAAAAGACACCCACCTTCTCTACCTCGCCAACGAGCTGTCTTCCTCCTCCATGATCATCTTCACCCGTACGGTAAACGACGCTCAAAGGCTTTCGATCATCTTGCGTCGATTAGGCTTCCCGGCGATCCCTCTGCATGGACAGATGTCTCAGAGCATGCGATTGGCCAGTTTGAACAAGTTCAAATCCGGAGGCAGGAGTATCCTGGTAGCCACCGACGTCGCCAGTCGTGGTCTAGATATCCCCCTGGTAGACCTTGTTATCGTGAGTGACGACTCAGTACTCGATTGCGAGTCTCGCTAAGTCCACGACGCTTTCAGAACTATGACATGCCTACCAACTCGAAAGACTACGTGCACCGAGTCGGACGAACCGCTCGAGCCGGTCGTTCGGGAAAATCCATCACCTTGGTTACGCAGTACGACGTGGAAATCCTGCAGCGTATCGAGGCCCATATCGGCAAGAAGATGGCGTCGTTCGACGTGGACAAGGAAGCCGTGGCTCTCCTCTTCGACACGGTAGCGCGTGCGAGTCGAGAGGCCGCACTCGAGATGAGAGAGAGCGGGACGGGCGGTGCAGGTGGCAAGCGGGGCAGAGACAAAGGAGGCAAGAGGAAGGGTTTCAACGATGGGGATGACAGGGACCGGGATGACGATGTGGTGGAAGCGGGCGTGCCCAAGAAGAAGAACAAGTTCAGTAATGCCGGCAAGAAGGCTAGGCGGTAGATCATAGACCATTGTATACCTTACGGGTGGAATGTAACGGCTTTGCCTGATGCCAACAATCCCAGCAGCCTGCGCGACCTTGCTTGTCATGCATGGCACAGTACCCTGCGTAAAGCGCAGGCCGTGTTATACATGGCGATAGAAATGGACGACTCAAAAAAGAAAAATAAAATGTTAGTAACAGCGGCTGGTTTCGATCCAGCGACTTCAAGGTAACACCAAATATGAGCCTTGCATTCTTCCTCTGAATTACGCTGTTGAAAGCCTGAGTCGTAACCCATATATAACCACACCGTAGCAAATACCCTTGGCCATTGCGTTCTTTGTTTGTTCGTGTTGGACGTTGATCGCTAAATGCTCCTTTGTCGCGCAGAGATCTATTGCGATGTCTTCTGACTAGTAGCGACCAAGCGCTCGTAGGGCGAAGTGCTGAAATAATGGAGACGCTCTGAAGCTGGATCGCCATTGTCGTGACTAACAGTGGCGGGAAGCGGCAGACCTCCCCGGCCCAGTGAGTCGTTCGGGTCAATCATGCCATGAGCGGCCGCTCGCCTTCCCTGGCGTAGCGGATACCTTTGAATTGGTTTTCTCCTATTCATATCCCTCGCCCGTACGTATCAAGCTGGCGATCCAGCCTTTGCGATGGGTTTCGCTTGGTTGTGTGCAAGCGCGAGAGCAATATGTCCAAAGTGCTATTTGCCGTCATGTGGAAAATATCGTATCTTCGACTGGGCTCTGCTCAGACGGCTGGCCTGAAGCCGCCGCCTGCCCTTCGCTGTCCATGCAGAAATACCAAAAGGAGAGCTGTTTCCTACCCGACGGGAAGCAAAGATGTTGCATTGTGAGATTGATCGAGCGGACTGTCGCGACCTTTGAATGATCCCACAGCGCACCAGAATAGATGAAGCGCTCTCCAGGGGAAGCCAGCAAGAACGACGTCCCATTCTACGTGCTGTGCTGAGCCATGTCCGTCCGTGTACGAGGTAATAGCCAATCAATCAATCACCAGGAGTGCCGGAGTGTCCCGATGCCAGTCCAGGTAGGTACCCGCTGCCCAAACCCTCGTAGTACATTCGTTGCATAACAAGATATTATCACAAATCGACCGCATCGGAACCACTTCTGTACGCGACATGCCAAAGATCGCCACACCCAGATGAGTCGCGCTTGTCCCTGACTTCCAAGCTGAAACTACCACTAACGCTTGCCCCAACAGGATAGTCATGCCTTCTCTTCAACGTGAGCTACACCCGCCTTGTTGTTGGCAATCTTGTGCAGGAGCTCATGGTCGAAAGCGTTGACGTCCGTCGTGGCGAACTTCCTGGCTGGAATCCGTCGCTCGAAGAGGATGTCGAGCTCGGCAAAGGTTCGGCCAGCGGGTTCGGGCACTCGGAAGTAGGCATACACGAGACACAAAAGACATGAGCCACCCCAGAAGAAACCGGCGTAGTTCTGGAGGAATAGCATAATCAGCAACGGATCATCACATTCGCAAAACGAAGTCACTCACTCCCCAGTCCCAAGCGGTCGGGTTGATCATGTAAGGGGTCAGAACGTTGTTGATGATAGCAACCACATTGTATGCAGCTCGTCCGAGAGCGACAGTCTTGATACCGAGTCGTCGAGACGAGATCTCGCCAACAAGGGAGTACGCGATGGTGCTAGACGGGAACATCGTTAGCATATTGAATTAGCATGTACAGATGAATACCCACCCAACGGTGAGCTGGTAGTTGACAGCCCAAACAAGCATCATGGTACCAGTAGCCAAGGCAGCACCCTTCCTTCCGGAATCGGGCACGAGACCGATGAAGCCCATGATGAAGAGCGAGAGAGACAGACCGACAAGACCGCAGAGCAAAAGCCTTCGTCGACCGATACCGAGGGCCATGAGACCCCAGGCGCCAAAGACACCGACCATGTTGATTCCGTACTGGCCCATAGCGAAGTCGTACGGGATGGTGCCCGTAAGTCCGGCTTGCTCGAAGAAATAGGTGGAGTAGTTGCTGAAGGTGTTTCCGGAAAGGTTCTGAATTGCCCAAATAGCACATACAATCTCGGTTCGGCGGAGATCGACACCCTTGAAACAGTCCCAGTAAGACGATCCAGCGGTGATCTCGTTTTCGAGCTCGGTGGTGTGTCGGATCATGTCTACTGTCTCATCGGCATCAAAGTCGGGGTTTCGCTTGGCAGAAGTGAGACGGATGAGAGACCGTTTCGCCTCTTCGATCCTTCCTCGTCGGACAAGCCACCAGGGTGATTCGGGAGCGAAGATGACACCAAGCAGGATGAGAGGCGGCCATACCCACTGTGAGCGAGCATAGTCAGCATTGTGTGTGGTGTCATGCAGGAAAGCACTCACCTGGACACCGTAGGGAATCCTGTAAGCCCACTGGTCACTCCTCTTGAACATGGCTCGGATAACACCAATACCGATGAGCTGACCCCAACCCCAGCAGAAGTTGGCGTAACAAGTAAGGTAGCCTCGAAGCGGGATAGGGCAGACTTCGGAGGCGTAGTTGATGGCGATGGATTGGAAGACACCCCATGGGATACCGGCAAGGATCTCGGCAACGAGAAGGATCTCGACACTGGGCGCGACGAAGAAGATGGTGATGACCGCCATGAGCCAAACAAGGCACGCCATGAGCACCTTTCGGTAACCATATCGTTCGGTGAAGTAACCGTTCATCACGAGACCGATGATCTGACCACACTGAGCACCGTTCGAAAGGCCGGTCTGCCATCTGGCAGGTACTTGATACGTGCCATCGGCGCCGAGGACACCGTACTTCTGGTTGAAGGGAGGGAACGCGTCTGGCAGAAATGAGGTTGATCAGAAGACCGTCCCGACTCGGTACATGCCCAGGTTACTCACAAAAGTTACCGAGAAGGGAGACATCGTACCCTTCCATTGCACAGGTGGACGAGATGATGACTGACCAGCCGATGGCCTTGGGGTACAGTCGGATACCCTCGAGAAGGGACATCTTGTGCTCCTTGGCTGGATGGCACAAAACACGGTCAGCATCGATCTTGCCTTTTTCGGGCTAGCCCGATTTGGTCGCGCGCCGGTATTGTGCGGAGAACCAGAAGGTCACTCACCCGTAGCTGAAGCGGCGTTGGCAAACATGTTGTTGACCTGCTTTTCGCTGATGTGCTCATCGATCGAAGGGACCCTGCCCCGCTCGCCGAGCGAAGGGACTCCCTCGACGGTGTCGTGAGTCGGGTTGTACGCGGACATGGCAACGGGTTATACTGGCTGATTGGGTGGACTGAAGGGAGCTCGGCAAGCGATGGACCGTCTCGTAATCTACTGAGTCTCAAGTGCTGTGAGTGTGAATGATGACTCGGATAGGTCGGTGGTCAAGGGGTCGTCAAGGCGTCTTGTGTGAATCGAGCAGAAAGAGAACGCGTCGATCGGCTGCTGGAGTATGCACCGCTCTGTTCGTGTGTCGACCTATGCACAAAGCTCGGTATACGGATGCCGCGTGAGAGGTGACCGGGTCGCAGACGTCGATATCGGTGTGAGTGGTCGAGATTGCGTGGTAGAGATGGGGAATCAAGATGTTTGCGACTTGGGTTGAGGAGGGGGATAAGACTACGTTTGCCCCATCAAGGATTTCACGGGAAAAGCAGTTTCGACCCTGAGTGGGAGAAGTGAGGCGAATGGCGATTGGTCAGTGGTCTTTATAACCCAAGCCTCATACCGACCCAACCCATCTCATCGCCATCGTTCATACCACCTTCATCACTCATCCGGTCATCGGAAACGTCGTAACCGCTCGAACCCAGATCATCTGATCACCTTTGCGGCACTTGTTATCTCGGAGCCTGTCTTTGATCGATAAAACCAGGGTTTGAAAGGCCTTCCCACCGTAGACACCCTCCGCGATCGGACCCGACGCCGGGGCTTACCCTGAGCCAGTCACCAGGACCAATGAGATTCACTCGATTGTCCGTGTCGGACACCGGTCGGACCATCGTTTAGCAGAACATGCCGCCGAATCATGCTTGTGGTCCCCGGCTTTGCACTGCTGCCCCGCGTTGCGCACGCGTACTTGGCGGCATAACCGGTCATATGATTGGACACAAGAGGCGCACAGTGACAAACCTCGCTTGTCTTGGCTGGACCTTTGATCGGGGAGGCGCCATGGACCCCCACGAAGCCAAAGGAGACCCCGTATATTCACACGAAGCGGGCAGCCGTGACGGGTACTGACGGCTCGTCATCGTGCTAGCTCAGGCGAATCTCGGTCTGTCGGTCCGAAAAGTCTTCTATTCTGGACAGGATGGTGTCGAGGTCGATGAAGGGGCATCACTCCCCCCCTTCGAACCCATCTTAGCGAGCCACAGCCTTTACCAAGAGGATCATCACCACTGAGTCGCTGCATTCTGCTACAAACTATCTTTGGTTCCCCTTGTCATCGATTCCCCTTGTCATCGATGCTCTCGCGCTATTCCTCCCGAAGCTGCTTAAGCCAAGTCGCCCGACTCGTTGGTACGGCCGTAGGAGGTCTGACGAACGGCATCAGCCTTATCTCAATGAAGTCCGGAAATACTCACAGGAGCTCCAGGCTTGTTGTCAAGAATCTTCTCAATCTCCTCAACGACATCGGGGGTGAGCTTGGGGTAGATGTCAAGAGCCTTGACGTTCTCCTTGAGCTGCTCGGGCTTGGTGGCACCCAGCTACAACGATAAAGTGTCAGCCTCGGCAGCCCCCGAACGCCCGATCCAAGGCACTCACGATACAGGTGGAAACACCCTTGTGCTTCAAGGTCCAGGCAAGCGCCAAAGCGGTCATAGAACCACCCAATCGCTGGGCGACCTCAGTGAGCTTCTTGACCTTCTCGATCTTGGCCTGACCCTCAGGAGAGGTGAGCGCCTTCACGTTGTCGTCCATGGCACCGTTGAGGTTGGAGTGGTATCGAGATCCCTCAGGGATACCGTCGTTGTATTTACCAGTGAGGAGACCAGAGTCGAGAGGTGACCAGATGGTGCTTCACATGGTGTCAGCCGAAGCACACCGACGACGTATCGATCAACCCACCTGCCGTGGTTCTCGTATCGCCAGAGAGGCTCGTACTCCTTCTCGAATCGCTCTCGGTGGAGCATGGAGTAGTGAGGCTGCTCAGCTGCAGGACCGACCATGTTGAGTCGTCGAGCAATCTCGATGGCCTGCTGAATCTCCACTGATGTCAAGTTAGCAGATTCAGACCGTCTAGGGAGAAGCCACTCACTGGCCGACCACTCAGAGGT